AGAGAGAGAGATGGGAGAAAGGAAGAAAGAAAGAAAGAAAGAAAGAAAGAAAGAAAGAGAAATAAAAAAGGAGAGGAAAGAAAGATAAACAAGCCAAGTCTGGGGAAAGCTCTACTTTAAAATTAATGATGGGATTGTACTGATGTAGGCAGGCAGATAAGGAAGGCCCCCTCCCAAGGCAATGGCAGTAAATTTCCTGGGAAGTAGTAACCCTGACCTCATGGAGAACTGGTGCCAGTCTGTAACAGACGCTGAGAAGGCTGGACCCTCCAACAGAAGCTCCTGCAGAAACAAAAGTCAGGAAAGGAATTTCAAAGAAGACCATCACCACTCCCAACCCCCTTGGTAACCTCCCTAGCAACGGACTTTTACCTAGGTAGAAGCCCCAAGTGGGGGTACGTTGGAGAAACCCTATAAAGACATCTTGAACAAAGGAAGTGTGGGAATATGCTACCCAAGCCCATGTGCTGCTTGCGCCCACATGGCCCAGCACATGCGGTGCCTGAGCACATGTGTTGCCTGCGTCTCCCCTCTTGAGATGTGTACTTTCAGTCTTTCATGTCTAATGCTGGGGTATGTGTAGGGGGTCTCTCTACCCTTGGAGAAGCCCAGGTTTCCTCTCTCAAGAATATTACACACTCTCTCCCACTTTCTCTCCCTCCTTCCCTTCAAAACCTTCAAATAAAAACTGTAATTTCACTGCCCATCTGCTCCTGAGATTCCTTTCTGCGAGGCGAGACAAGAACCCAGTAATACTGGGTCTCGGGTGGCAGAAGCGGGTGGGGAGAAAGTGACCATCTTTCTCCTCCCCACTTCACATGAGCAACCCGTGGGGCCCACTGACATCAGTACCAAGCAGGGTCCTAGAACTTTCTAGCACCCCACGACACTTGTATGAGGCCAATCGTACAAGGGCTTCTGGGAATGCTTGTGATAATGATGACCAGGTCAGAACATCACCTGGGAGGGCGCAGGGATTTCCACTCCAACTGCAGCCAGACACCAGGATGGGAACACAGGGAGATTTCCAAACTCTAGTTTTGAGCTCTAACATTTACCTGCAGGCCCCGATGGACCCAAACTTGCCAGAAAAGGCAGCGCACAGAGTTGGACACACAGCATGACTCAGAACCGAAACCAAAAAGCTCTGAAATGCCACCGCAGGACCTATGACTGCTGACCTAGGGGGTTGGGGTTCCCCCACTCGAGCGGCCCCTCTTGGCTTGGAGAAATAAACTGATTTTATTTCTTTATTTTATTTACTTTATTTTATTTCACCCTACCACGTAATTCTTCTGCTCACCAGATTGGGAGCTTTCCACTAACAGGCTGACCAGCATATTAAAATAATGTGTAATACCAAATAAAGGGTGTTGGGAGGATTCTCCCAGGATGGGAGAAGCATGCTGAAAGTAGACTATAGACCAAACATGATTGCCACTCAATGCCTCTTTTGCAAACCACAGCACCCAAAAGGAGAGAGAGAACAAAATGGAATGCCCTGCCACAGAATCAGGGTGGGATGGGAGTATGGGGGATTGGGTGGGAGGGATACAGGAATCAGTGGTGGTGGAGAATGGGCACTGGTACAGGGATGAGTACTCGATCATTGTATAACTGAAACCCAAGCACAAAAATTTGTAAGTCTACAACTGTACCTCATGGTGCTGCACTAATAAAAGTTAAAAATAAATAAATACAATAAAATAATGCATATTAAATATATGTATATATACACATAAATATAGTCTATATACTGGATCTCAATGCTAGTTAAGAAATAGAAACTCGAAAGTCAGATATTTTACAACTTAGAAGATTTCTGTGATTATTATAACTCTAGTGGGCAGTTTTATAACATTAAATGACAATGATTAGTAAAGTCAAAGTACACACTCAGGTGAAATTCTGACAAAGGCATATAATTAATTCTAAACATTTATTATATTTCTCTAAGAAGAGAAAAAATACAAGCTCCAAAAAAGAACCCTGAGAATAAAGGACCAAATTATGTTCAGGGAGCAACAAATATGAGCTTGTTCATTTGGTCCTGCTGGAGAGCAGGTGTGTGTGTGTGTGTGTGTGTGTGTGTGTGTGTGTGTGTGTTGGGCTGGGAGGGGTGCTTGGTGGTAAAGACCCTGGTTCACCGAAGGACAGCCATCACAGGATCCTATGACTGTTGACCTGGGGGTCAGGGCTCACTCACTTGAGTCTCTCTGTGGGCTGTGGGACAGAGGATCATGAGCAGAAGTTCTATACAAAGGGGCTGGAGCGATCACATGGAGCGATCGCACAGAGGGTAGGGCATTTGTCTTTCAAGCATCTGACCCGGGTTCGATCTCCAGCATCCCATATGGTCCCCCAAGCACCACCAGAAGTAATTCCTGAGTGCAGAGCCAGGAGTAACCCATGAGTATTGTCGGGTGTGCTCCCACCCCCCCCCCGAAAGAAGGAGTTCTGTCCACAGCAAGTTGTAAACATTGAGAGCAAAGCACTCACTTCTAAGCTTCTGTTCTGGGCAGGAGACGGAGCTCAGTCACAGGCAGGTGCCCTGCATGTGTGTGGCCCCAGGTTGAATCTCTGGCATGGTAAGTGCACACTCAATTCTGATCTACAATTATAATCAGTACTACATGCTGTGTGTATCAGTCAAGGTTCAACAGAGGCCTAAGTAGTACATGACTTAGATAGATAGATAGATAGATAGATAGATAGATAGATAGATAGATAGATAGATTAAATAGCTTATAGGTAGACTGAGACTGGCAGAGTTAACTTGTAAAAGGTTTGTGCAAATGTGAGATTGGGTTAAGCAGAGTCTTGCAGGTTGTGGCTCCATATCTGATGCTGGAGCTCCATGTCTATCTGACAGGCAGGCAGGAGAGAATGAGGAGGAGCAGGTCTACACCACAAACACAGTTCATTCCACAATAACAGTCTAAGCATTCATTCTGACAGGTTTATCCTGCAGAAGCAGGGTCTTCACCATCAAGCACCCACCCCCCAGCCCCAACACACACACACACACACACACACACACAGAGGCACACACATGCACAAATGCACGCACACACACGTGTCTGTGGCCAAGGTGAATCAGCCCCTCAGTCGCAGTGTGTGGGAACTACAGCGTGGCTGCTATTTCCCTTTGCCTTCCAAATCTCCCAAGAATCTCCCTCGTGGCCAGCCTTTCCCAGAGACATACAAGAAAGGGAAGCCTGAAAAATGTAGGTCAGTCTAGACAAAGTGATGCATTACAAAGCCATCACATTAGTGAATGGTTTGTGTGTATTCAGATCTGCTTTTGATTCCCAAATCAGCTTTCAGCAGATTATATTTTTGCTCAAGGAAAGTTAAAGTTAATTCACCTATTTTTTAAAAATCCCTGCATAATAATGTTATTCACCATTTCCTTGTGAAACTATTTTCAGCAGTTTCTGTTAAAACTAGAGTTGTGTTCCCTTTTACTTTTTTTAATAATACTGTTCACTTATAATACTGTTCATGATAAAGCTTCATGTATACAACATTATAACATCACATCCTTCACCAGAGATTCTTGACTTATTGATATGATCCTTTAATATTGTCTCAAGTTTAATTGCATTATCAGAACATACAATGTCTTTGCTTGGTATTAAAGATATGTTTCATGTTCTAATATATGATCAATTTTTATTAATGCTTCATGTGTGCCTCAGAATAATATATATTCTCTAAAATTGATTGCAGAGTGCACAGACACACATAGATGCATGTTTAGGTAGGTTTTCCAAGCTACATGAGAAATATGTACTTGACCACTGAGCTCACAATATTGGGCCTGTACCAAATTTTTACTTACATGATCAATTAATGACAGAATCATATTAAAAACATCTCCCTCTATTAATTTTCCTGGTAGTTATGTCAATTTTTACATTATAAAATTTAAAACTCTGTTACTAAATATGAATATTTATAATAATGATATTTCTTTGTCAATAACTGCATTTCAGATTCAGTTATGAACCTTCTTATCCCTAATAATATTCTTTGCCTTCAAATCTATGCTGTCCAACATTAATACTGCTTTTTTTGTCCCCTCCCTAGGGCCTGAGGTATGCATTTAAGACACATTTGTTATTAAAACCATAAATGTTAACACTATTGTAAACATGTGATCTAAGTTCCAATTATATACTAAGAGGACATATTTGTCATATTTGATCCATTATTTCTAGTGTAGGATTTGCAGGTTATCAAATGTGGCATTCTTAGAGATCTTGAAGTTCTGAAACTTAGAAAAAATTAAACATAGACTCACCTTTAAAGAGAAATCTCTTACTATGTTTGGGTATACAGTCAGAATAGCAAAATAGATCGCACAGGTAGTTATAATTGAGCACTCATATAAACAATAAAAGTGTCACACCATATTAACTGGAGGGCTCATTCTGAGTACATTCACTTTTATCTCCAAGTGCCAGAAAAATACATGCTTTTTCAAAAAATGAACTCCCACATTTTGCCCCCAGAATCTGATATGGCTCCCATCCCAGAAGGTGGTTCCCCCACAATTGAGAAATACTATCTCCAAAACAGATTCCAGTTTAAAGATGCAAATATTTTATTCCATTAATGGTTTCGTTTTCAACTTCCCATCTCTGGGGCCCTCTCAGATGCTGTACTTTTCTCTGGTGTTCTATGGGCTCCTTCCAATGTTTCCAAACTGCTCTTATCTTCCGGCTAGGTAACATCAAATAGTCCAATACTAGGCTCAAACCTACTTTCTCTCTCTAACTGGCAATATGTATTTCCTAATGTTGGAAGCAAATTCTATCAGCTGACGTTTTACCTAATCTTACCAATAGCAGCTTACCGGGGTCTTTCAAAACCCACACTAAGCATCTGCTGTGTATGAAGTGGGATCTACTTTTCTCTATTACTGACTATGAATTTAAAAGTTCCTAGAAAAGATTTTGTGCAAGACTTGGGGTCAACTTGTTGCCCGAGGCAAGTTATTCACTGTCCTCTGTTGAGGTGGTTGATTTGCTTGCATTATCAAATTTATGCACTACATAGAAAGCCTTTAAAAGCTCATTAAAGTCAATGCTTCCATCTCTATTTAAGTCCATTTTTGCAGCAAGTGCATCAATTTCAGAATCATCAATTTGAATACTGTAGTGACTGTTGAATAGTTTCCAGGTGGCACGAAATTCTTCTATGGATATCAGACCTAGGAGAATATAGGGAAGGACTGTGAGTATTCATTTTAAGAGACACCTAACAGAGAAGTGGTGAAGTCATACTACTGAAGAGTCCCAATTCCAAACTCACTAATATAGTTAGTTGACCATCAAGACATTGGAAAAATTGGAAATGAAAGATCATACATGTAAGAAACAATAGGCCACCTTCAATTGCCAAGTGATCCTGAGACAACTTTCAATGTTAATGTGTAAAAAGGGAGGAAATAGAAGTCTGTGGACCATGGGAATATATATGTTAAAGGTTTCTTTTTTTAAGAAAGAGAGTATTGATTTTATAGCCTGCAAGTTTACTGTACAAGTCTATTGTCTCTAGGAGTTTCTTGGTGGAGGCTTTAGTTAGGGTTCTCTAAATATAGTATCATATCATCTGCGACTAGTGAGAGCTTGATTCCTTCCTTTCCTATCTGGATACCCTTAATATCTTTTCTTCCCTAACCTCTATTGCAAGTACTTCCAGCACTATATTGAACAGAAGTGGTGAGAGTGGGCATTCTTGTCTTGTCCCTGACCTTAGAGGGAACGCTCTTAGTTTTTCCCCATTGAGGATTATGCTTGCCATAGGTTTGTGGTAGATGGCTTTGACTATATTGAGAAAAGTTCCTTCAAAAGCCATTTTGGTCTGAGGGCTTGGAGAGAGGGCTGAGTGGAGAGAAATATCAGAGCATAGGAAGAAGTTATGCTGTTTGCAATGAGGTTTGTGAATAATGGAGCTGACATTTTTATATAGTCAATAATTAACTTTTGCATGTTGATGATTGATTTTTGGGTGTTGAATGGTCTTGTCAGTTGGGGATCAGCTGAGATTTTTTGGGTACAACTTTGAAAATAAGTAATTATGCATCAAAGCCAAACAGAAAATAAGGGTTTTTTCATAGCCCTCGGTTCCCCAAACTGAATCAGAATTCCAGGAACAATTATTGCTGGGAGTGAATACGAGGAGGATGTTTAAATGGATAATGAATTCTCTTTTCATCTATGCTGGTATTTATAAAAGGGGCAATTATTGCTGACTAATGGGTACCTTGGCCTGTGAGAGACTCTATGGTCTTGGATGCATAGTTTGTGATCAAAGCAAAGTAATAGTCTTATTAAACATGGGCCTGGTATTTAAAAAATGAGATATAAAAAAACATAATGGGACTAATACCCAAGGACAGTAGAAACAAGGGCCAGGAGGATTGGCCCACAGTTGGAAGCCTGCCTCAAGTGCTGGGGAGAAGGCAGTTGGGATAGAGAAGGGACCACTATGACAAAGATAAATGGAAATGATCACTCTGTGTAAGAACTGTGTGCTGAAAGTAGATAAAGGAACAAACATGATAACCTCTCAGTACCTGTGTTGCAAATAATATTGTCCAAAAGGAGAAGGGGGGGAGAAAGAGAGAGAGAGAGAGAGAGAGAGAGAGAGAGAGAGAGAGAGAGAGAGAAAGGGAGAGAGAGGGAGAGGGAAGGAGGGATGGTTGGAGGGAGGGAGGGAGGGAGGAACAGAGGGAGATGGAGAGGGAGGGAGAGAGAGAGTGAGAGAAAGAAGGAAAGTTCCTAACATATAGGCAGACTTGGGGGGAGGGGGAATAGTGGGAGGAAAATTGGGAACATTGGTGGTGGGAGATGTACATTGGTGGAAGGATGGACGCTGGAATATTATATGACTGAAACCTGATTATGAACAGCTTTGTAACTGTGTATCTCATGGTAATTCAATTGAAAACAAACAAACAACAACAACAAAACCCATGGACCTGAGAGGTAGTATAGTGGGCGGGTACTTCTCTTGCATGCAGCCGACTTGGGTTCAATCCCTGGCACCCCATACGGTTGGTCCACTGAGAATGATCAGGAGTGATTCTTGAGTGCAGAGCCAGGAGTAAACCCAGAGCACTGCCAGGTATGAACCCCAAACAAAATAAACAAAATAAAACATGGGTCTATTTCCCCCCTGAGTTTAATCAAGTTTGGATAAAGAATGAAAGAGATAAAAACACAGTTCTGGTTCCAAAGAAACAGACTAGCTTCCTGTTGCTAATGCACTAATCAAAGTCCACAGTCCACTTACCTGAGTTGTCAGTATCCATGACATTAAAGATGATTTGCAGGTCAGATCGGTATCTGTACAGAGTCTCAACTATGGAAGACTGAACCTAAAATAAAGATTTCCTGAACATTAAAACACACAGAATTACTAGCATGGGTTGATTTTTGTTTGTTGACAGCAAACATCATCACTAATTTAAAGTATGTTATTTTAATAGAAATATTTATCTTTAATAAGATAAAAGATGTATGTGGGGGTAGGGGGTTGGGGAATACCCTGCCTTGTGGTTTGAACCATTAGCCCATTCCGGGCCAAAGCAAATAAGGAAGTGGTAAGTAACAATAACCAAATTTACTGAGAAGACCTCTGTGCTAGGCTCTGCACATAGGCAGAGTTTCTTGCAGATTATTTCACTAAGTCCTCAGCCTAACCCCCAAGAACTGAACTACTGTTATGTCCACTTTACATATTAGAAAACGGAGTAGTCAAGGGATGGAACAAAGATTCACATGGTTGGAAAGTGGGATTTGAATGTCAGCTGCCTGAAGCTGATGCTGAGAATTGAGTCATCAAAGTAAACTCCTCTTAAGTGAGGCCATAAGCCATCTTCCTGAGGATACTTTAGCCTTCCACCTGCTCTTTGATTTTCATCTTCTCTTTGCTCTTATCATCTCATCTCCCTTACTGATAATCACCCCGTCTTAACTTCCCTTGAATCACTCTTAGCTCAATGCTATAAACTTAGCATCTAGTGCTATTTGCTGATTCGGTGGGAAGGGCTGGGGTTCTGGGAGGGGTCTGACCGCTATCCCTGAGGAGTCCCAACAAAGTAAGGAATTCCACATTTTAAAAGTCTCAAAGATATGAAATGTCATGCCAGGAAGTCTCTACACAGACAGTTTAGCAGAGAATATGCTAAGTACTGCCAAGGGTGTGTTGTGTGGGAAAGCACACCACGACAACTCCCCACTGCTGGCCGGCATTTGAAAGAATCATAGATTTAGGGGGCTAGAGCAATAGCACAATGGGTAGGGCATTTGCCTTGCACGCAGCCAACCTGGGTTCGATTCCCAGAATCCCATATGGTCCCCAAAGCACCGCCAGGAGTAATTTCTGAGTGCATGAGCCAGGAGTAACCCCTGTGCATTGCTGGATGTGGCCCAAAAAGAAAAAAAAATCATAGACTTGACAGGCACTTGCCTGAAGAAGCTTGTCTTCCCTTGCTTTTTGTCTACACTTAGTGTCCCCACATTTCCTGAACTGATCCGATGGATTTAGGAGTTCCCCATTAGGCCTTTCCTAAAACTCTCCTGTTCTCACCTACTAGGTCAGGTCTTTACCACCTTTTTATATCTGTAGAGTGGTGAAACAGGAGAAATAATTTGCAGCCACTGAGGTCGACATAAAAGACATTCATTATAATAAGGACATCTCTCTCTCTCTCTCTCTCTCTCTCTCTTCACACATTCTAGCACTGCCCCAGATGTGCCATGAGTTAAATGGCAATAACTTTGTTCCAGACCAGCGTGGATTCGCACACTGGCAGCTGAAACCATTGCATTAGCTGATCCCACACCCTTATTTTCCAAAGACAATGACTTCTGTAGGTTATCCACAGCAGGTTTTGCTGCATCCAGGTTGCAGATGGCCCCGTGTCACTTGCCTCCTTGATGGGTTTCTGAATGCATAAATCCTCGAAGGTGGACATGTACTCAACATTGCCATTTTCGTCTGTTTTCACCAGATGCGAACTCAGGGTTCTCCAGGGCAAGTTCAGTCCCAAAACGTTTTCCAGAGAAAAAGCCCACTGGCTCAAGGTAACTTTGCCTAACAACAACAAAAGTTCACACAAGTGGTTGGTGAAGAACCACAATTGCCATCAGCCTGGGATTCTGAGCTCACCCCTTTATGATCTGTCCTCCCAGACCCAGTGGTTCTGCCGGAGTAAATTCAGTTACCACAAATCAGGTAATTGTGATTGCAAACAATCACACTTTGGGTGTGCAATTTCATTTCTCCTTTTCCTGACAAGCACTGTAAGATATATTTCTAATCAATGATTAGAAAACACCGATTGGAAAACACAGAAGAATATAAAGGATAACAGACTGCTTTTCTTTGAAACTCCTTGGCATATTACTCAACTTCCTTTTTTTTTTTTTTTTTGCTTTTTGGGTCACACCCGGCGATGCTCAGGAATTGCTCCTGGCAGTGCTCAGGGGACCATATGGGGTGCTGGGAATCGAACCTGTGTCGGTCATGTTGGCTGCGTGCAAGGCAAACGCCCTACCCGCTGTGCTATCGCTCCAGCCCCTCAACTTCCATTTTCTTAACTAAGGTCTTTTTTTATCTTCTTATATTACAGGCAGTTTTTAGAATATCTGAATTTTTAAAGATTGGCTTATTTGAAATGATTCTAAATAAACAAAAACTTTGTTATAACTCCTGGTGCTTCTATGAATATAAATATGTACACATATTTTTTCTTTCTTAATACCAAACATACAGTTTACTCTAGTATGTTTCACATACATGGATTATATATGGCAACATACATGATGGAGATTTATTCTAACCCATTTTTTAAAATTTTATTGAATCACCATGAGATAGTTAAAAGCTTTCATGTTTGGGTTACAATCACACAATGATCAAACACCCATCCTTCCACCAGTGCACATTCCCCACCACCAATATCCCTGATATACCTCCCCTTTCCCACCCTCCCCCTGCCTCCATGGCAGACAATATTCCCCAGACTCTCTCTCTATTTGGGGGCATTATGGTTTGCAATGCGATACTGAGAAGTTATGATGTTTGGTTCATTATCTACTTTCAGCACACATCTCCCATTCCAACCGGTTCCTCAAGCCATCATTTTCTTAGTGATTCCTTCTCTATTCCAACTGCCTTCTCCCCTTTGCCCATGAGGCAGGCTTCCAGCTATGGAGCAATCTTTCTGTCCCATGTATCTACTATCCTTAGGTGTTAGTCTCATGTTATGTTGTCTAACCTATTTTTAATGTACAATAAATCATGGTTCTCAGTCTTTATTAAGAAACATATATATATAGTATAGTTTCAATAACTCTGAAATTATTCCATTATTCCTAGTCTCATTCCTAGAAGTGAACTGCTGTATCAGAGGCTATGCACATGATTGTCTCTCTTTTTCTTTTCAGGGGTCAAACCCAGGGTCTCACACATGCAAGGCAAGGCACTCTACCACTGGACACCTCCCTACCCCCTAGATTTTTAAAGGATTTTGACTTATATTGTCAGATCCCTCTTTTACATTCTTCTCTCCAAATCCTAATTAGATGTATACAAACTCTCCTTATCCTACTTCTTATAAAGTTTGATCTTTATAATTCATTCTTAAGCAGTGTTCAATCTTTCATTTAATCCACGATAGCACGATAGCACAGCGGGTAGGGCGTTCGCCTTACACGCGGCCAACATGGCCGACCCGAGTTCGATTCCTCCGCCCCTCTCGGAGAGCCCGGCAAGCTACCGAGAGTATTCAATATGCCAGACACAGTAACAACAAAGTCTCCAATGGAGACGTTACTGGGCCCGCTCGAGCAAATCGACGATCAACGGGAGGGCCTTTACCTTTACCTTTACCTATCCTTTTAAAAACTTATTTATTTGTTTATTTTTGGTTTTTAGGCCACAACCAGCAGTGCTCAGGGCTTATTCCTGGCTCTACACTCAAGGATCACTCCTGGTAGGCTCTGTGGACTATATGGGATTCCTGGAATTGAATTCATATCGGCTGCATGCAAGGCAAGCACCCTACCCACTGTACTATCATAACTCTGGCTCCCTTAAAAAAAACCAAGTATTTTTTATATCTATTTGGTTCTTCTTCAAATTATCTGTAAATGCATATATATGATTACATCATTTGTTTCCTTCAACATTTATCACCATGGGTATATGTAGGGGGAGTATTTGATATTTCTGAAACACACAGGCTGATGGTGGCAGAGAGAGAGGCTGGCAATGAGTTCTGGGGAAGTCATATAACCAAGATGTGATTTAAAAAGCTACTGTCACTAGTCCTAAAGTAGCCACAAAAGCATGAAGACTTGACCCTCTTTGTGGGTTTAGGAACTGAAGCTGATAAAACTCTAACCCTGGAGAAAGCTGGATCCCCAAAGTTCCAAGCTCGTCTTCTTCACAGCACCCCAGGAACTGACTCTTCTCGATATAGAAAGCCCCCATGGGGACAGTTTCGGTAAAACCTGTAATACCAACTTTGCAAAGGTAAGTTGGGTGCATACCCATTCCGGATCACCCCACATCTCAACTTCGGATGTGGATTCTTGGCTCTCTCCCCTCTGGAGAGTGGAGAATCTCTATCTCTCTGTCTCTCTCTCTCCTCTGCTGCTCCCATCTCTAAATAAAACTGTTTTACATGAGAGAGAGAGAGAGAGAGAGAGAGAGAAGAAAAGTGACTGCCATAGAAACATGCAGTGGAGAGGGTGAAGGAGGAAACTGGGGACATTGGTGGTGGGAAATGTTCACTGGTAAAGGGATGACTGTTGGAACATTATATCACTGAAACCCAAACACGAACAACTTTGTAATGGTGTATCTCACTGTGATTTAAAAAAAATTAAAAACTGCTTTACTTCACAACTCATCTCCAGAAATATATTATTTCTCTCTTCAACCCAAGGTCAGGACTCCCTGAGGACTCAGGTGGCGGGGACCAGTTTCCATGCCATGAAAATCAAGTGGCATTATGATACAGCTTGAGAAGCTGGCCAGTGGGGCTGGTGGGATGCCAGTCTCTGTGCTGGGAAGTGTCGGAGCCTTTTCCAGTCCTGTCTCTGTCCCCGCCCCACCCCCACTTAATTCAAGGCCCTCCCAAATGGGTTGTACAGGAAAAGTGGAAACACTCTTTCTTGACTAAGCCTCCCTCACTCCCCACCTCTCTCATCAACATCCTTTGGAGAAGCCCAGAAGTCCTACATCACCCAAATCACCAACATCCATGCCAATATCTGACGCCTTGTTTGCTGTTTCTGCTGATTTTCACTCCTGACAGCTTAGCTCCTTGTTTGGGATCTTTGTGAGTTCTGATTAGTTTATTCACTTCTGAATATCCTAGTGGCCAAAATTCCAAATTCAGGCTGTTTCTCATGAAGGTAGACTTGAATTTGCTTTTGAGGAGTCAATAGTACAGACCTAAGACTATTGTAGTCGCTGTCAAGGTTCAGACATAATGTGGCCCTCTCCAATGCAACTGCTCCATTTCCCTACTAGCCTATGGTTTTGTCTCAGGCTGTGTTTCTGCACCACTCATCACATTTGCCCCAGGACAATCCAGCTCTTAGTGCTTGTCTACTGTTCCCTGTCCTCTTCTGAAGTTTCAAGTCACCTTTCATGAGGCGAGGAGACACGACCCAAAGATTAACCTCACTTACTGTAGGTCGGTGAATGTGTTGTGATTCTGTACCTTTTAGAATGTAGCTGTTTCTTAATAGGATGGCCTGCCTGTCTCGAGCATGCCATACTGTGAGAAATGGCATTCTCATTTCAGCTTGCACTAGTTGCTGTTTGCACTTGAAAGCAGCTTACTGAAAAAGAAGAAATATGCTTTTTCCCAGACTGAGATAAGTTGAAGGGCTGGAGCATATGTTTTGCACGTGGGAGGTCCAAGTGCAAGCCCCAGCACCATAAAAATGAAAAAGAAAGAAAAAGAAAGTGATATGCCTATTTTAAAAGCATATAATGGCTTATAGTTTATTATTATCGCTATCATTCTTTTTTTTTTTGCTTTTTGGGTCACACCTGGCGATGCACAGGGGTTACTCCTGGCTCTGCGCTCAGGAATTACCCCTGGCAGTGCTCAGGGGACCATATGGAATGCTGGGAATTGAACCTGGGTCAGCCGCGTGCAAGGCAAACGCCCTACCCGCTGTGCTATTGCTCCAGCCCCATGGCTATCATTCTTTGCTAGTAAAAATAGAGGACTGGGATCTTAAGGAAGCTAAGAAATCTAATGAAAACCCATCTACATGTAGCCTGATATGTTGGGAAATGGTAAATAGTACAGAACTTTATTACCTGATCTATAGCGGTCTTGAAGTTGTAAAGCACGAACAAGGTCAGTTTTTCGTGCAACCATTTTCTCCTTTAGTATCCTCACAGCACTGCTTTCAATAATACTCACCCTACGTTAAGAAAAATAAATTCTGTTAGGGTTATATACAACAGCCTATCCTGTTTTATAGTAATGTGTTCTATTACTACCTACCAGTTGTCCTTTTAAATAATTTGCCTACCTTCACACATAGCATGTTACTGGATGATGAGTGTGTATATATAAATGCACGTATGTGCATATTTTAAGGAAAAAACTTAAGGATTACCACTAAGTTTTTCTTTTTCTTTGTTTATTTTTACGGGCCTTCTAAGCAACACTGGGGGTGTGGGGGAGCTCAGGAAGCCACTCCTGGAATACTTGGTCAACCGGGCAAAACGGTTCAGTGCTCAGGCCAGACAATACGATGCTGTTCAGGCTCAGGCCAAGTGATGCTTATGAGGGTTAAGCAGTGCCAGGGACCAAGTTCAAAGACTCACACATGAAAGGCATCAACTCCAGACTTATGTAGACTCTTAAGTCCTTAGTTTTTTTTTCTTTTTGGGTCACACCCGGCGATGCTCAGGGGTTCCTCCTAGCTCTGCACTCAGGAATTACTCCTGGAGGTGCTCGGGGGACCATATGGGATGATGGGAATTGAACCCGGGTCGGTCGCGTGCAAGGCAAACACCCTACCTGCTGTGCTATCACTCCAGCCCTAGTTCTTTCTTTATTTCCAAGATTCACAAGAAAAATGAATGTCTAAGAATTACCAAGAACATTTTGGGAAAGAAAGAAAATAAAGGACTTGCTAGAGCAAATATTAAAATTCACTGTAAAGTTGCTGAAATAAGTCAGTATTGACACAAAAGAAGAAAGATACCTGAATATAATATAATAAGAATTTCATAACTATAGTGAATTATACGTAGAAGCAATAAATGTGACAAAGGAGGTATTATTCAGTAGAAAAAGGGGTTTAAGAAATATTATAGTAAATAGGGCACTTGCTGTGTATGCTGCTGACCCGGGTTTTGAGCCCCAGTACCACATATGGTGTCCCGAATCTCGGAGTCAGTGTAAGTCCTGTGCACTGCTGGGTGTGGCCCCCGAACAAACAAATATAATTTAGGAGAAAAGCAAAACATTTTACTGGTACTAGCATAGTTATCTCTCTGTACATTAAATATTTATCTCAGATAACTTACAAACATAAATTCAAAATAAGAAGGACCAGAAGACCAAAGTTGTGATGTGTCATATAGCAATACCCAAAAGTAAAATAGCTGATAGAAATCTAACCACATTAGTAATAACAGCAAATGTGAATGGATTAATCAACTGAATAAAAACAGAAATGATGAAGCAGAATTCAAAAATAAAAACAAGGGGTCTTGGGATGTGGCTCAATGTTCAATACCTCATGCCCACCTGCTAAATGTGATCTCAAATGCCACAATAAGTGAGCAGAAACAAGGCAAAAGGAAGTTGAGAAAAAGAAAATGAGAGATGTTTAAACATAATAAAATAGAAACATCCAACTGTATGTTGTCTAAAAGATACACATTTTAGTTTGAACAATATAGACTTTGCAATGAAAACTATGGTGTTTATCAGAAGTAAAGGGGATTAGGTATGGGAGGAAGGAAGAAAGAAGCCTTTTGTGGCAGGAATGATAACAAGACAATGATACACATAGAAAGGTACGGTACTAACTCTGCAATTCTATTACACTATAAACCAATGATACACCAACACAAAATTTTTAAAATGAAATTTTAAATAATAATTAATTGGTGTAGGCTGATAGCACAGCGGGTAGGGCGTTCGCCTTACACGCGGCCAACATGGCCGACCCGAGTTCGATTCCTCCGCCCCTCTCGGAGAGCCCGGCAAGCTACCGAGAGTATTCGATATGCCAGACACAGTAACAACAAAGTCTCCAATGGAGACGTTACTGGGCCCGCTCGAGAAAATCGACGATCAACGGGAGGGCCTTTACCTTACCTTACCTAGGCTGCCAGCAAGGGCGTTAAAATAAACTTGTTCCAATAATAATCACCGTATCACTGTCCGCCCGTTGTTCATGATTTGCTCAAGCAGGCCCAGTAACGTCTCCATTGTGAGACTTGTTGTTAATTGTGTTTGGCATATCGAATACGTCATGGATAGCTTGCCAGGCTTTGCCGTGCGGGCAAGATACTCTCAGTAGCTTGCCAGGCTCTCCAAGAGGGGTGGAGGAATTGAATCTGGCTCGGCAGGGCCGTGTGCGAGGCAAACGCCCTACTGCTGCGCTATCGCTCTAGCCCAACTTCCAATAATAATAATAATAATAATAATAATAATATCCAAAGAGAAGCAAGGAATGTTGCTCAGTGAGAGAGTCCTTGGCTTGCACAAGGCTCTGGCTTCCATCTCCAGCGCAGCATAAGACAAGATAGAAAAATAAAGCACTTTAAGATAGAAAAGCCATTGCTAGTTTCTAGAGATAAAGAGGAACATTTGGTAATTATAAAAGAATCCATCAGGAACATAAAACAATTATAAATGTATGTGTACCCGACAACAGAGTCTCAAATGGTAGGACATAAAAATGGACAGAAGTGAAGGAAGAAACAGACAATCAACAAGAATAGTTGGGAACTTCAACACTCTATTTTTAATAATGGATAGAACAACTAGGAAGAAAGTCATAAAAGACTTGAACAGCACTATAAACCAAATAGCTCTCACAGAGATATATAACATTCCACCCAAGCGCAGCAAAACAGACATTCTTCTAGACATTCTTCTGAAGCTCATCTGGAACAGTCTTCACAACAGAGCCCTATGCTAGGCCATAATGAAAACCTCAATCAACTTAAAATGATTAAAATCATAAAAGTATTTTTTCTGCCTAAAAAGCAAATTATAGATTAGTAGCAGAAGGAAAATTTGGATCATGGCAATCCTAAATTATAAAGAAGTCCAAATAGAAATCACAAGAGAAATTGAAAATTGTTTAAGATGAATGAAAACAAAAATGCAGTATGCCAAAACACATGAAAATTCAGCTCAAAGAGTTTGTAGCCATAAATGACTATGTATTAAAAAGAAAAGAGCCTAAGAATGTGGCTTAGTGGTACAGAGTCAGGTGTGAGCCCTGAGCCCAGTCAATGTTGCCCCCCAAAAACAAAACAAACAACCCGAAAACACAAAGTACAGAGGTTAAGGTACTTGCCTTACATGTGGCTGTGGCTACAACAGTGGTTCAAATACCAGCATCGTATGGTCTTCTGAGTACTCTGAGCCCCTGAACATAGAGCCAGGTGTGGCTCCTACTTGGTTATACCCAGTGTAACCAAGGGTGGGGTGGGAAAAGGAAGAGACATCCCACAGAAAGGGAGAGATTACTTACAAACCACACATCTATAAGTCACAACTATATAGAATAAATAAAATACTCCCACAGTGAAGTATTTTTTTTAAAAAAATGTTTAATGTCTGAGGTATGGACCAGAGAAATAGTACAACGGGTAAGTTGTTTGCCATGAGTGTGCCTGTCCTGGGTTTGATCCCCAGCATCCCTTATGATCCCTTAAGCCTCACCAGTAGTTATCCCTGAGCACAGAGCCAGAAGTAAGCCCTGAATACCACCAGGTGTAGCCCCCAAACTAGAAATGTCTGAGGTAGACCTTTCTTCAAAGAAGGTATACAAATTTCAATAAGCACATAAAAAGTTCTGAATATTGTTGGTCATTAGATAGATGTAAATTAGGTAACTAGATAGATCAAAACCACAATAAGATTCTACCTCATATTCACTAAGAAGGCTATAATGTAAAAGACACCATAACAAGGACTGGCAAGGATGTGAAGAAACTGGAATCTTCATACATTGCTGCTGATGATATAAAATGATGCAGTTTCTTGGGGAAAAAAATTGCGACTTCCTCAAAATGCTAAACGTAAAATTATCAGACAATGAGGAAATTCAGGGGCTGGAGTGATAGCACAGCGGTAGGGCATTTGCCTTACAAGCAGCCAACATGGCTGACCCGAGTTTGATTCCTCCGCCCCTCTCAGAGAGCCTGGCAAGCTATCGAGAGTATCTCCCCCTCACGGCAGAGCCTGGCAAGCTACCCGTGATGTATTCGATATGCCAAACACAGTAACAACAAAGTCTCCAATGGAGATGTTACTGGGCCTGCTCGAGCAAATCGATGAACAACGGGAGGACTGTGACAGGACTGTGACCAAGGAAATTCCATTTTTAGGTAAATATCCAAGAGTAAGGAAAACATATGTATGCACAAATCCTGTCTATCAATGATCAAAACAGCAACTCAAAATAGTCAAAAAGTGGAAATAACTCAAACAGCCATTAACTGATGGTTGATCAAGGAAAATTCATACAATGAAATATTAAGGTAAGGTAAGGTAAAGGCCCTCCCGTTGATCGTCGATTTGCTCGAGCGGGCCCAGTAACGTCTCCATTGGAGACTTTGTTGTTACTGTGTCTGGCATATCGAATACTCTCGGTAGCTTGCCGGGCTCTCCGAGAGGGGCGGAGGAATCGAACTAGGGTCGGCCATGTTGGCCGCTTGTAAGGCGAACGCCCTACCCGCTGTGCTATTATTCACCTATTAAAGAAATGGAGTACTGATATATTCTATGACCTCGAAAATATAGTGCTGACACATCCAAATGAACAAGAACAACCAGTGCTGCCACGGATGCAGGGAGAAAGGAACTCTCATTCATTGCTGGTGGAAATGCCAACTGGTTCAGCCTTGTTGGAAAACAGTATGGACATTCCTCAAAAACTAGAAATTGAACTTTCATTTGACCCAGCGATACCACTTCTGGAAATATACCCTGGGGGTTCAAAAACACACAGCAGAAACACCATCTGTACTCCTATGTTCATTGCAGCACTATTCACCATAGCCAGGACCTGGAAACAACCTCAGTGCCCAAGAACAGATAGATGACTGGATAAAGAAACTTTGGTACAACTACACAATGGGATACTACACAGCTGTTAGGAAAAAATGACGTCATAAAATTTGCCTATAAATGGATGAACTTGGAAAGTATCATGCTGAGTGAAATGAGTCAGAAGGAGAGGGACAAATAGATATAGAATGACTGCATTCATTTGTGGGATTTAAAAAAGAATAAAACTAATATCCAAGGCCAGGGGAAATGGGCCAGGAGAATTAGTCAATGGTTAGAAATTACCACAAGGGTATGGGGGGGTGGAGGGTAGTTAAGATAGAGGAGGGTCCATTATGACAACATGAGTTGGAAATGATCACTCTGGACAAGAAGTGATTGTTGAAAGTAGATAAAGGAATATACATGATAACCTTTTAGCATCTGTATTGCAAACCATAATGCCTAAAATGAGAGAGAGAAAGAGAAAGAGAGAGAGAGAGGAGAGAGGTGCCTGCCATAGAGGCAAGCAAGGGTGGGGTGTTTGGGGGAACAGGAGAGAAACTGGGAACATTGGTGCTTGAAATTACACTGGTGGAGGGATGGGTGTTAGAACATTGTATGACTGAAACCCAATCAAGAACAGTTCTATCTCATGATGATTCAATAAAATAAAAAATAAATATTGAAAAAGTATTGCGCTGAGGGCTGGGGATGTGCCTTAAAAGCACATGTATTGTGTGTATGAGACCTAGGTTTGATCCTTGACAACACACTCACACACATACACACACACAAATTGTGCTGAGTGAAAGGAGTCCAGTCACAAAAGATCACATATTGTGCAATCCCAATTTCACAAAATTTCCAGAATAGGCAAACCTATAGAAACAAAGTAGATTACAGTTGCCTAGAGTTGTGATGGAGAAAGGTAACAATTTTGTCTTTAGGAGGCAAAAATATTCAAAATTAGATTATAGAGATAGTTGTACAATTTCATAAATATACTAAGCCTCACTGAATTTCATACTTTAAATTGGTAAACATTATGGCATGTAAATTATAGCTCAATAATTATTATATGTATCTATGGTTATTAATATCAACACAGATATATATGATTTATATAAATTTGGTATGGAGAAAAATCCAAGAGCTATAATAAACTTACAAGAAAATGTGATTTCATGAAACTTAAGCAAAATTGAGATTCCAACAAAATATATGCAGCGGATCCATACAAATCTTCTAGCCCTCATATGTAAAAATCTACCAAAACATGGAAAAGCCAATATAAAATGGGGGAATATTAGAAATAGGAAATTTGAAGAGAACATGCAATATCCAAAACCAGGTATTCCCAGCTCAGCTGTCAAATACTAACCAAAAAATGAGATATAAAATATTCATCAATCGGCTTGGAAATATTTAGGAAGAGAGTAATAATATCTGAGAGTAATGGAAATATGGATAAATTAAGTATAAATTAAGCTGCTTCCCAGATTGTTAACTTACAACTCTTCTGAAATAGCTAGCAAGATTTTAAACACATAATTGTACAAATTTGAAATATTATGCATAAAATAATCTACGTCTGGCACTTATTGCCTTTCTCTTTCGGCTGATGTACATGCTTGATGGGGGGCGGGGGGTGGTGAAGATTTCTACCTGTTTTTTTTTTGTTATAGTTCCTGTGCCTTAAAAAGTGTGTGAGATACAGAGCTCAGAATATTTTTATTTGATGCTCACTTAGGTTTGTTCGTTTTGGGGGGGTCACACCTGATGATGCTCAGGGCTTACTCCTGGCTCTGCACTCAAGAATCACTCCTGGTGGTGCTCAGGGGGCCATATGAGATGCCGGGGAAAGAGTCTGTGTGGGTTGTGTGCAAGGCACGCACATACCCCCTGTACTATCGCTCTGGCCCCCATGCTTGCCTATTTTTGCAGGTACAAGAAGAGGATGGACACGTCTACTCCAGGTTGTTCATTTTGGTTGTCTCCAGGGGGAAAAGATTACTGAGACATAGGGGGGATGCATATTATTAAAATTATCTTTAGGGGCTGGAGCAGTAACACAGTGGGTAGGGCATTTGCCTTGCACGTGGCCGACCTGGGTTCAATTTCCAGCATCCCATATGGTCCCCTGAGCACCGTCTGGAGTAATTCAAGTGCAGAGCCATGAGTAACCCCTGTGCATTGCCAGGCATGACCCAAAGAGCCAAAAAAATTATCTTTAAGTATTTTTGTATTTTTTGTGGGGGGTTAGGGGAGCCACACCCAGAAGTGCTTGAGAGTCACTCCTGGCCCTGTGCTCAGAAATCACTCCTAGTGGGGCTCAAGAGAGCATATAAGATGCCAGGACTTGAACCCAGGGTGGCAGCATGCAAGACCTTACTCGCTGTGCTCTGGCTCCAACTCCTATACATCTGTGTTAACAAGAAACAAATGAGTGTTATCATGCTTCATCACATCAGCAGGCTATGTGACAGGAAGAAAAGAAGAGAATCCATGAATGTCAGCTCATAGAGAGCTCCATCACTCATAAACACTTTGGGGTAGAACAGAGAAGAGAACAGAGCTCCCGGGGCTGTTTGTGGGTACAGAGATGGCTCTAGATTACGGGACTGGGTGAGCATGAAGACCTTTACCAGCATTTGATTCATGATAATTCATGAACTGCTTGTCCATATAAAGAGTTAGTTGTAGGAATTAAAAGTTCCTCTCTTACAAAAGGGAGTGCCATGCCACAGAGGCAGGGTAGGATGGGGGGATAAGGGGGGTGGGAGGGGTACTGGAATCAGTGGTGGTGGAAAATGGGCACTGGTGGAGGGATGGGTACTCGATCATTGTACAACGGAAACCCAAGCACAAAAGTTTGTAAGTCTACAACTGTACCTCATGGTGTTTCACTAATAAAAAAATTTTTTTTAAAAAGTTCCTCTCTTTTGCTTTACACCAATGTGGAAACAATTAGGAATCACCCCCCTTGCCCATAGCTGCTCTCAGTCGCTCCAGACTGGTTCTCTTTGTTCACCAGTAGCAACAACACTCAGAGTTCTCCTCAGAGCATACACACCTTTGGTAAAGAGGTCTTGCAATTGTTGACCTAGTTACTTGGTATTGGATAATTCGAGGGGCCAAACCAGCACCCACTCTGATGTAAGCTCCCCGATTGCTGCCTTCTTCATAGTAATTAGAGGCCGAAAATACAGTAATAACCTGATGAAAGAAAAAGGTCAGCTTCATGAAGAATGAGTTCTCCAAATGTCATCGAACAAAGTCAGAAATAGTTTGGTTCTTAAAGTACAAAAAGCAAACATAATCCCTGTGATTTTGCCAAGTCTTATGGGATTTACTGAGTCCATCAGAGATATACCAGGCTTTTAAACCACTGTCCCCAAGACTACTCATTTCCAGCCCGTACCTGATGGGCACAGGGCATGCCCTTCGTAGTGGTCAAAATTGTGCAAATCCTACTTTGCCAAGGGGATAAAGCCTTAATATTCTTTCCTTGTGCTCTTTGATTCAGAGTAGAACCGGTCTAGTATCCCAGTAGATTTTCTTCTGCTAGGAGATGACTTCTCTGGAAGGGTCACGCCCCCACAAACCCTGTGCTTTAAGGCACAGGAAGAAGGGACAACACTCACTTGGCTGGAAAGTAATAGTTTGGGGGGCCTTGGTGAAGGATGGGAGGGTAATACTTGTTGATGACCAGACTTCAAACACACGGCACTACAGACAAACCAGCGCTGTTTCTATCCATTTTCTACTTACAAAGCAACCCTAAACAATATTTGCCTTAAGCACATTGCACTGTTGGTATGAGGGTACTATGGACAAATGGAATTCAGCACAGTTCAAGTGTTGGAATAGAAAGAATGCCTAAGCACTCTGGTATTCCTTATTTACTGCCATGCACTTATAAACCAGGGCCATCCCAGGACAACTTGGAACAAGAAACCCATTCCTCAGACTTCAACGCTCTCTCAGATACCACTGGAGCTGCACCCAGTGTTCCATTTTAGAGTCTGCTGCAGACCGACCATGGCCAAGTGGCTTGTAGGAAACCAACTCAGAGAGTAGGGGGAATGTGTTTTTTGTGACTCTGCCCTGCATAAAGGAAGGGCCAGGGGTGGAAGAAAAGAAACTGAATTTCCTGGGGCTTGTTGGTGCTCTTGTGCAGGTAAGCAGACTCTCAACCCCAGTGTTACTGGAAATTCGACTTGAATGAGTACAGAACAAAGCCTGTGTGTGTGTTCTTTAGTGCCATGCATTAGAATGTCTACCTCTGGAATTAGGAAAGAAGACAGTGGGGAGGAATAAGCCAAATATCTTTTTGCTTTGATTTGTTCTGTTTAGGGGCCACACCCAGCAGTGCTCAGGGCTTACTCCTGGATCAGGGCTCAGGAATTATTCCTTGTGGTCTCAGGGGCTCATAAGTGTTGGATGTCTTGAATTGAATCTGGGTGGGCAGCACGCATGGCAGGCAACCTACCCCCGGTGCTATTGCTCAGGCCTCTTGATAAGCCAAATATCTTAAGACATAATTGAGGACTTCTGAGGGACAGTTAGACCCCTTCAAACAAATGATGGTTGCTTCTCTTGGGTCTTCAGGTCAGACGTAGCCTGGGAGAGGCAGCTTGGGGGAAGGAAGGGTGTTAAGTGGTGATGTTCGTGACAACAGAGCTTACCTTCCCTTCATGGCAGAATTCAAACCCTTCAGGCTTACATTCATGAGATCGAATGAGCATCTTCAACTGGAATTTACTGAGAACCTTGGAGGTAATATCTGGTCCAAAATAGCAGCCGCCTCCTCTACTTGTGTTTGGGTAGCAGCCTCTCTTGCCCCTGGGATCACTCCACAGAATATCAATAACCTGTGAACAACAAACCAGATTAGGCTGCAATTTATGAGTGCAAGTTTCTCTTTCTACACTCCAATTTATTTGCCAGAAATAGGAACCCAGGTCACCCCAAATCCATTTCTCTTTCTCCTATTCACAAATGTTTCTGAGTCCTTGCCTCCATGAATCTTCGTTCAGAATCTTCTTCTATTTTGTTTTGTTTTGTGGCCACACCCAGCAATACTCAGGGGTTTCTGCATTTAGGAATTACTCCTGGTGGTACTTGAAGAAGAGGGACCTTATGGGATGCTGGGAATTGAACCCTGGTTGGCTACAGGCAAAGCAAATGCCTTCCCAGCTGTACTATGGCTCCTGCCCCTTCTTTCAGAATAATTTTAATATCCTTAGTCATCACCATTTATTTCTGCACAGATCCCAATAATGAGCAGAACAATCCCGAGGGAGCATGTCTTTGTTTTGTTTTTGTCTTTCAAGATTCTATCATAATTGTTTTACAATTGCTGAATCCACAAAGCTCTCCCTCTCCTTTTTTCTGTTGTTGCAAAAGCTCTTACACTCTCTTTTTTCCTTTTACAAATGTTTGTTCTTTGTCATATAAACCCTCCCCTCCACCCCTGCATTCATTATGCATTCCCTCCTCATTCCTTAAAGTCCCAGCAATATACCTCCCCACCCCCTTTTGGTTTGTTTTGGTTTGGGGCCATACCCGGTCATTCTTAGGACTTATTTCTGACTCAGTGAGTAGGTATCATTTCTGGCAGTGCTTAGGGAACCATACACGGGGTTGGGGAACCAATCAAGGGTCAACTGCATGTAAGCAAATGCCATCACTCCTGTGCTACCTCTCCAATAGCCCTACATCCCATTCTTTACCTTGGGATACTCATTTTGACTCATTATCTTTGGAATCTACATTGATGCAGATACCCTATAGGTTTGTCATTAAGTTTTTTTCTTTTCTCCCAGTAGTCAATGTGAATGATCATTCAGCCAGCCCAAGGACACAGAAGGATAGAGGAAGATTTCTCCACTTTCCAGATACTTGTTGTATATCTCAAAGTTCTAACACACTCCGACTCTGTGAACTTATATGTTCCATATTTTTCATTTTAAAAGCATTTTATTTAGACATTGTGATTTAAAGGGTTTTTGGGCCAACAATGATCCTCCCTGCAATCCCTCCTCCCTGGATCCCCCTTCCCTCCACCGCTTACCCCAGATTCCCTCTCACTCCCCAACTTGACTCCCTGACAGCTACATTTTTAAGTTTAATTCTTGCAGTTTGGGTGCCAAGTTCACAATAGTGTTGGATCTAGTGGTTTTGAACTATACATCTCTCTACTGTAGGGCTCCTGGCCCTTGCCCCTATGTTACATGCAGCTCTCCTCTGTTATGTGTTTCTTTTAAGGCCAGGAAGAAACATACAATTTTAAATTATTCTGGTGGGTCCAAAGAAGGTCATAAAAAGAGGCCCAGAAATAATTGTCCAACTGACCATAACTGCATACCTAATGACAAGTTTTGGATCAAAGGGAGCTAGAAATAAGTGCTCCCTCAGTGCAGAGCCAGGAGTAAACCCTGGGCACCACCAGATGTGGTCCAACTCACCACTCCCTCACACACCTCAATAAAAACTACTTAAAGAAGATACAGACCAGGATTCTCTTTTTTCCCCGTGTTGTATCCCAACATTGGCACAATTCTACCATACCAATAAATACAACAGAACCCATCTACTTAGCTAGTGTTTGTAACAAAAATAGCATTTAAAATTTAGGTTTTTAGGGGCTGGAGCGATAGCACAGCGGGTAGGGCATTTGCCTTGCACGCGGCCCGGTGGGCTGACCTGAGTTCGATTCCTCCGCCCCTCTTGGAGAGCCCAGCAAGCTACTGAGAGTATCTCGCTACACGGCAAAGCCTGGCAAGCTACCTGTGACATATTTGATATGCCAAACACAGTAACAAGTCTCACAAGTTACTGGGCCTGCTTGAGCAAATCGATGAACAACAGAAGGACAGTGACACTGACAGTGACAGGTGGCGACTCAGGTGCCACTGTGGGCAGTGCTCTGGGGACCATGTAGTACCAGGAATGGAACCCAGAACTCCCTATGCAAATCGTGTGCTGTAACCCTTTGAGCCACGCCCCCAGACCAACACTTGGATGTTAAACTCGGTTACATATGATTCACGGGCTGGAGCGATAGCACAGCGGGTAGGGCATTTGCCTTCCACATGGCCGACCTGGGTTTGATTCCTCTGACCCTCTCGGAGAGCCCAGCAAGCTACCCAGTGTATCTCACCTGCACGGCAAAGCCTGGCAAGCTACCCATGACATATTCGATATGCCAAACACAGTAACAAGTCCCACAGTGGAGATGTTACTGGGCCTGCCCGAGCAAATCAATGAAAAACGGGAGGGCAGTGCTACAGTGCTGTGCTGCATATGATTCACAAACCATATGCTAGTGTTTAGGAGGCTTGATGTGACCATTAGTACAACGAAGCAGCAAAACGGACTAGGTGGAGATGAGTTCTAGGAAGAGGGGGTTTAGTTTTTCAATTCCTACTTGATATGCATTAGGTAACAAATATCGGTCACCACAAAATTCATCTTCAGTAAAAGGTTAATTCATAGGAGAGGCCAGAAACCCAAGCAGATTACCTTTGAAAGAGACTTAACAAGTAAATGTTAAGGGAACCTTCCTTACTAGGGGAAGACCCATTACCTGCAACTTCTTCACCTATTTCCTTTTTTTACAGTTTGGCTTCTTTAAAGAGAAAAGTCTTATACATAAATATAATAAGAGTAAAAACTGTAGACAATGACAAATGTCTCTACAAAATGAATATCACAGAAGTTAAAACACACATAGCAAACTTTACTGTGAGCCATTTGATATCCCTATCTCCTGTATTTATACCTTGATACCCTGCTCCCCCCAAAAAAGGTAGAGTCGCACACTCAAACCTTCAAGTCTTGCTGTGAAGTTATCCTGTTGTTGCTTATATCTATATTTGGGCCACACCCGGCAGTGCTCAGGATTTAGTTCTAAGCACGTACAGCAGTGCTCAGGAGTCACTTGTGGCAGACTTGGGGGACCATATGGAGTGCCAAGGATTAAACTTGGGTCACCCTGCCCCTTGTGCAATGGCTCTGAAAGCTTTTGCTGCCATATTCTAAGCATTAAGTCCTCATTACATTTTTGAAATAAATATGAATATTACTTATATTTCAAAATAGCTAAGAAGTGCACTTCTTTGACCCACACTCTGGGTTAGTAATGATCAAATCTGCCACACTTCTTTTCAACAAAGATGGTATGACTTTAATCAGCATACCTTTGTGTTCTTACGTAACCTGTGCTCACTGGCCTTCCTCTCTCCCATAACTTTTCTAAGTTATCTCTGAAAATTGGAGCGATAGCACAGCGGGTAGGGCGTTTGCCTTACAAGCGGCCAACATGGCCGACCCGAGTTCGATTCCTCCACCCCTCTTGGAGAGCCCGGCAAGCTACCGAGAGTATTCGATATGCCAGACACAGTAACAACAAAGTCTCCAATGGAGACGTTACTGGGCCCGCTCGAGCAAATCGACGATCAACGGGAGGGCCTCGAGCAAAATGGGTGACTTACTCAATTTCACTGGGTCTTTCTCATGTATACAGCAGGTATGCAGCTATTAATCAATGTCTCCTTACTTTGTCTCGTATAAATCTGCCTGATTCTTAGTTGATTATTTATCCAGTCTATGAAGAACCCATAGGAGTACAGGATCTTTTTTTTTTTAATTTTTGGGCCACATCTGGCAGTGCTCAGAGGTTACTCTTGGCTCTGTACTCAGGGATTACTCCTAGGAGTGCTCGGGGGACCATATGGGATGCCATGGATCAAACCTGGGTTGGCCACATGCAAGCAAGTGCACTAATGACTGTGCTATCATTCCGGCCTGGATCATTTATTTTATGTGATATGTCATTTATAATCTAATCACCCCTGGAAACCTCTTAAACTACCCTTAAGACATCGGATACATAATATTCTACCTACAACCTAGACAATAATATAGAATGTGAATATTTTATATGTGATAATGATATGATGTAGGATAAATAGTATGTGACTAAGGAAATGTAATACTTTTTCTTTTGTCATATGCATGTAGATGAAGTTAACATAAATGAAACAAACGTGACTGGACTCTGTTCAATTAGAATAAATACTAGTCAAGGATTTAACTCTCCAGCCGACACTGTATCAACTTGGCCAAGTCATTTTACCCATTAGAGCCTGCATTGGAACATTAATGAAGGAAGATATATCTAACACTCATTTTTCACTTGATTCAAAGCCAGAAGGAGTGCCAGTTTTATAGAAACATATTTCTTCAGAATCATCCATTCCATGAGTTCTGCATTCTGTCTAGCATTCATTTACTTGATTAGGTTCACCCAAATGATTGCCAGAACATTTAATTCTGAGGCTCATAATCAAAAAAATTCCACAAAGAACCTTTTGTTGGTAAAATTAATTTCTCAGCAGAAACGATCACTTTTCTCTCAGCAACATCCTCCTCTCTGAAGTGCAACGGCCTTTGTGGTAAGTGCGTGAAAGAATAATTATTTATAACATCTTTTCTTGAAAAATTTCAGACCAAAAATTAAGCAAACTTTATTTAATGACAGCTTTTCTATGATCTGGTCAACAAGATATCCTGTTATATCTCAGCATTTAAATCTCCTAAATCTACAAATGAAACCTGTGACAAGTGTCCTGTGCATGTCTACAGCTCTAACTATTCCAATTTTCAGAAATATGCTTTGTGAGAAGGTTAATTCTTCTGAAGGATATATTAAATGGCTCTCTTCTTAGATACTTAGCTATTTTTGCTTAGTTATGTGCTCTCCTTCCAGCTTTTGAGCATGTAATTTAAAAAGCTTTGCTCAGTGACTAAAAGATAATACAAAAGTTAGGGGTCATGCTAACTCCTGGCACCACATGGTCCCCTTAGC